TGTCAGTTGGGGGGTGTGTGTGTGTGTGTGTGTGTGTGTGTGAGAGAGAGAGAGAGAGAGAGAGAGAGAGAGAGAGAGAGAGGAGAAGAGAATCTCACATGTTACTGTGGGAATCAAAGGTCATACAAAAACCAAAGAAGATTTCAAACAGAAGCAAATTATTTAAAGAAAAAGTCATGTGTAGAACAGCACTCTTTAAATTGTTGATTATTTTACTGTTTTCCCTAAATTTTCAATCACTTGCCTTGCCTTTATTGTAACAGTACACGATAAGAAACTAAAATTTGTTTTCAAGATACTATGTTGGAACCAAGAGAAAAGAACCTTTACTGGAATGTATTCCAATTTTACTTAGTCACATGAGAATCTACTCTGTAAATGTACCACAGGAAAGAATATTTGCAACCTTGTTTTCCTAGCATTGGCTGCTAAATGTATACAGATAATGGACTATTTGTTTTGTGTTTCAGACCAATTTTAACACTGTTTTAACAAGAGAGAAGATGAGGAAAGAGAACATAATAAATGACCTTAGTGAAAAGTTAAAGAGCACAATGCAGCAGCAAGAGCGAGATAGAGGTTGGTGCTGTTTCATAATGCGACTTTAAATCACAGTTAAGATGAAATATGTGAATTTTTTCATTAAATAATGCCTATTTGAATTTTGGGACTTTTTAGATTTGATAGAATCACTTTCTGAAGATCGAGCTCGTTTGCTTGAGGAAAAGAAAAAGCTTGAAGAAGAAGTCAGTAAATTGCGTAGCAGCAGTTTTATTCCGTCACCACCTATAGTTGCTGCCCCAGAGCTTTATGGAGCTTGTGCGCCTGAGCTCCCAGGTGACACAGCTAGGTCAGAGACAGTAGATGAAGGAAGAGTGGATTCAGCAATGGACACAAGCATGATGTCTGTCCAGTAAGTAGGTCTGTTTTCCACTGATCATCAAAGGCTTTTAAAATCATCAGTGTGAAGCTGGGCCTAAGCCTCGAAGCACAGGCCTGAAGTCTCACTTTCTCAGGAGAGAGGAAGGAGTAAGATTACAAATTCAATCCCTGCTTGGGCTACAGAATGAGTTCAAGACCAGCTTGAACAAGTTAATAAGACCCTGTCTCAGTATTTGTAATAAAGTCAGTAGGGCCATCTGTAAATTAGGAAATTCTAAAGGAGGGAAAAAATTTTAACTTTACTGATTGCCTAAAACCTATATAAAAATTCAAAAAGGGAAAAAATTCTGAAGAAAAGCTTTCTGGGCATGGCGGCACAGACCTTCAATCCTAGCACTCTCTAGACAGGTTTGAGATTGAGGCCAGCCTGGTCTACCTGGTGAGTTCCAGGCCAGCTGGGGCTACAGGGAGACCCTGTCTCAAAACAAACAAACAAAAAACCCAAGCATGCCAAGAGAACATGATAATTAGAAGACAGAAATAAATTCATAGTGAAAATATATTAAAAAATCTTGCAGCGGGGCGGGGAGGGATCACATCCATCTGTGCCTCTCTGATACACATTTTATGTATCAGAGAGGCATTAAAACAACACAGTGTAGAAAGGTTAGTGTAATGTGATTGAAAAAGATACATAGGGTCAGGAACACAAGGCCAGGAACAAGCCACAGGACTCTTAATACTCCCACATGGGGAGGGGCACACGGGCAGGCACACCCTTGGAGCGCATTGACTAGCCAGCCAATCAGAGTTAAGGAGTTCCAGATTCAGTGAGAAGAGAAAGATAAGAGAGCAAGCTCAAGGAGGACACCAGGTTGACCTCTGGTCTTCACACTCATGCTTGGGCACACCGAAAATGAAAATAAGATTCAACACTGATCAGTGTTTGTTGTTTTTTTGCTCTGCTTTATTTTTAGCTCTGGCTGGCCTGGAACTCAGCTATGTCTGGCCTGGATCTCAGAGAAATCAGCCTCCCTCTGCCTCCTGAATGCTTGTGCCACCAGGCCCTGTGTATACTGATCAGTTTTTATGAATCAAAAGTATTTTAGAAAGAGAATGAACTCTCAAGATCTACAGAATAGGACATTTCTCATAAGAAACAATGAAGTTAAAATAAGCAATCAATCAATAAATAAGGTGAAGTGATATGGCACACACTTTTAGTCCTGCCGGCTCTTGAGGGGGACAGAGTCAGACAGAGGGATCTCTGTGAACTGGAGATCAAGCCAGAGCTACATAGTGAGACCCTGTCTAAAATAGGGTGTATGTGTGTGTGTGTGTGTGTGTGTGTTTGATGTAATCTTAATATAATTTAGAAAATTAGCTGTAGACTGATACACAAAGTCCTTAGAATTTAAAATTTTAATATTACAAAAAGGAAGAGATGTATTTATTGCATATATATGTGCATGTCTGTGTGTGGATTTGTGCACGTGAGTGCAGTGGTAGAGTTACAGGCTGCTGTGAGCCACCTGGTGTGGGTACTGGGAACTAAACCCTGGTCCTCTAGAAAAGCAGATCAGGCTCTTAACCACTGAGCTGTCTCTCCAGCCCTGTACATTTGAGAATTTAAATACATATTTATGTAGATTGTAGATGTATAAGTACTAATGTCTACATCTAAATACAGTGATTTGAATTAATATTTAAACTTCTAAAATTCTTACTAATGAATAAAATTTAGAATTTCAGAGGATGAAAATAATAACTGTTCTCACTTTTAGGGAAAACATTCATCTGCTTTCTGAAGAAAAACAGAGGATAATGCTTTTAGAGCGAGTGAGTAAACTCTTGATATTCTTCAGTGTTGATTTTGCAAAAGCATTGAAATAAACTTTATTCTGAAAATATTAAATTAGAATATATTCGTGTTTAGGAATTCTTATGATTAATTTTGTGATTGATGTTTGAGAAGTCCCATCGGTTTTGATTCTGGTGGCTAAAGAGTTGGCAGCGGTGCCACTTGAAATAACTTCAGTGACTGCCATCTGCAGGAGCGAGAAACAGGATAGCTTTTATGTAATAATTTGAAGTCTCTAATGGTCTAACTCAGTCGACTCAGAAATTATCAGTACTATACAAATATAAATTTTAACTCATCTATTTCAAAAACAAAATTAGAACTTTTCAAAGACATGAGCAAAATTTAAAAGAGTAAACATGATGTTTTTAATAAAAATTAACTGAAATGAGCAAGAGAAAGTTGGCAATAAGCACTTCCAGTTGTTAAAGTTTTGTGATTAAGCACCTCAGAATTACATTATGATGAATTAGTGAATGGTAAATGCACGTTCCACTTGTGAACTAAAAAAGTCTTTGTAGATAAATGCAGGCATTTATTGTGTATTTTATATATTCCATAGCTAATTCTAAAGTTTGAACACCATTGGCTTAGGTAAATGTATCTAAAACTGTTCTCATTCTCACTAATGCAGTAAATAATTAGAACAGTTGGAAGACATTCCTGGATAAAAACCATACAGGTCATTTTGTTTCCAGGTTCGAGTTGGTACAAATAGAAACCATGCGTCTTTCTTTTCTATCTGTAGACATTGCAGTTGAAAGAAGAAGAAAACAAGCGCTTAAATCAAAGACTGGTGAGTTGTTTTTTTAGTGACAGTTTTTAAATAATTTACATTTTGTTACGAACATCTTTCATCTGACGGAGTTGTGCTTTTCTAGATAAAGTAGCATGGAGATTTAGTGCATCAGAATTAGTTTCCTTGTTAATAAGGAATTGTTGAACACAAGTAGGGACTTTGAAGTTTGAACACAGATTTAAATGTGTGTAACACAAGTTTTTGCTGTGAGGGTAGTACTCAGAATGTACAAAGCTCATGGAAGGTTTGCTTTGTTTCAGATGTCTCAGAGCATGTCTTCAGTCTCTTCCAGACATTCTGAAAAAATAGCTATTAGAGAGTAAGTATCTTAGTTTTTTTGTGTGGGTTCTGAATGAGATTGTTAAACAAACTGTGTTTTTGTCACAATAATCATTTAGGTCCATCTTCAGTGAGTGTGTCTTGTATAAGAGTTCTGTTTTTTTGAGACAGGGTCTATGTAGCCTTGGCTGACCTGGAGCTTACTAAGTAGAGCAGGCGGGCCTTGAACTCACAGAGATCTGCCTGCCTTTGCCTCCTCAGTGCTGGGATTTAAGGGTGGAGCCACCATAGCCACACCCAGCCTGCTGTGTTTTTCTCTACGTACTCATCCTAGTCCTTTCATTTTGGATTGGAATGTCTGATTTCTGGTTGGCATTTCCTCTGTATTTTATTTTATTTGTATGCTACAAATTCATAAGATACTACAATTTAATATTACAGCTTTTTTGAACCAAAATACCCCAGAGTCATAATTGTTGTTTCCCATGGATCATTCGAAATGATCTCTGGAATAATAAAGAAAAGCATATTAGCAACTCTTGAATAATGGCCTGTTACAGTTGACGGAACAAATGAAAAAAACAAAAAAATTGCTGGACTTTATTTGGTTTTTAATTTTTCATTGCATTTTTGTGTATTTCGTACATAAAATCATCTTTATGCCCCCTTCCCCTTTGACACCCTCCCTAGCCCCCCACTGGAATTCATATATTCTGTCATTCGTATTAAACCCTATTAAGTAAAATTAGTGCCCACGATGTCCCTCAGTACAACTGAACTTTTATTTCTAATAGGTCTGTTGATCAGATTCTTTTTGTTTTTGTTGGGTTTTTGCTTTTTTTGGAGGGAGTGTGGGATTTGTCAGAAATCTGTGGTTTTGGCCGTTGACATTGCAGTAGCTTTATTTTCTCTAGGTGATTTGAAAGGGCAGGATGATATCTGTCTTTAACAACTGTGTTTCAGATCAGTTGTCTTTTGAAGATGAGAAATGAGCTTTAACTTAACTGCCTCAGAGATCCCCTTCAAGTCCCCTGTTAATATATTAGCTTTTGGGGTTTAGCCAAAACAGTGCTTACTATAACATCATTGTAGCAGTAAGTATTAAAAACTCTTAAGTCTTGCTTGGTGGCACATGCCTAAGATCCCAATGCTGGGAAAGTGAAGGCAGGAAGATGGCAAGTTTGAGGACAACCTGTAACACACGCACACACGCACACATGCACACACACACAAATGAGAGCCCCTGCCTCTCAAAAGGGAAACAAAAAGCCATTCTTGCTGACTTTGACTTTCTGTCTGGAGCATCTAGCACATAAAATGACCTGCCAGCTAAGGACCCTGGGGTTAATTTTCAGCACCTGTTAATATTCTGAGCATGCTCTGGGAGGTCTCCAGCAGTGAAGCAGGGACGTGGGCAGCAGTAACGACTGCTCTGTTTTTCATCTTCAGATCCCTATGTAGTCTTGCTAAAGCCTGATTAGGTACTTGGACCTAGTTCAGTTTTTCTTTCAAATTGAAGAGTTCCGTGTTTAGGAATTGAAGTACTATGGGCTACTTTTACAAACATCATGACTGTGAATTAGATCTCTCTTTTTCTCTCTGAACTTAATGTTTCTTGGTATAAAATAAAAGATTAGGAAAAAAAAAAGTTATCCTGGGTACTTTTCCTCCCCATCCAAGAAATTTTTTTAAAAAATACTTATTATATTTTATGTGTATGAATGTATTGCATGTGTGTAAGTGCACGTGTGCTGCAATGCCCATGGAGGTCAGAAGAAGACATCAGATCCCCCTGGAACTGGAATTACAGACAGTTGTTAGCTGCCATGTGGGTGCTGGGGGTTGAAACCAGTTCCTCTGCGAGAGGAGCCAGTGAGCTTAACTGCCAAGCCATCTCTCCAGACCCAACCAAGCAGTTTTTTTCCTTTCTTCTTTTAATTAATGGGAATTTTGCTAAGGAAAGTTTGGGTGTCTAATAAGGAAACTTTGAGCAACATGCTTTGGCAGAGTACAAAAGGATATCATGTAAATGTCAAACTTAATAATTGCAATAATGTATAGCTGAGCTTTTTAAAATAAAGTTGTCCATAAATATCCTCAAGTATTTTATACATTTCAGCATCCCCTGTGGAAATCAGCCCTTGGCTGCTCAAATTCATTTATTTATTAGCTTTTTATTTTTTAATTTTAGTATATGAGTGTTTTGTCTGCATGTATGTATGTGTACCTGGTGCCGCAGAGGGCATCAGAGTCCCTGAAACTGGAGTTATGAATGGTTGTTAGCCACCTTGTAGGTGCTGGAAACCCAACCTAGGTATTCTGCAAGAGCAGCCAGTGCTCTTAAGCTCTGAATCACCTCTCCAGTGCTATT